GTGTAATAATTCATCTGTAAACCTAAAAATGTACAGCCAATTTTGAAAGAGATGTACCCTAGCTCAGAAAAAATGTTACTGAATAGGTTAATGCTGTTGTACTGAAATGCTTCTTCTAATTAAAAAAAAAAAAAGGTGTTTTGATCAAATCCATGCCCACTCCCTCCCCTTCAACATTCCCCCCTCTGAAGAAGGAACCCTAAAATTTTTTAAGGATTAGATACAAGCTCCCAAATACTTTTGACATTTGGGGTCTTTGAAACAGAGTATGTTACTAACAGGCCCAAGGACTTTTAGCCAAGAAACTGGCTACATTTCTTTGGGGTCTTTTTACCCTAACTGCCTAGCCAATTCCTACCTCCTAGTCTTACCACACCACCCTCTGAAGGGGTTACCCAAATTGCCAATAGGGAATAGGGACACCGACTGCTCTGGCTTCTTCCGAGCTGAACAGGGACTCAGGGTGAGGCAACTGAAGGGAGCACCCCTTCAGGAACATTGGCTGTTCTTGCAGAACACCCAGGTTTAAATCCCAGCACCCACATGGCAGCTAACAACTGTTCATAATTCCAGTTTCAGGGGATCTGATGGCCTCTTCTGTCCTCTGCTGGCATTGCACAACACAGGTGTACTTACCTACATGCAGGCAATATACTCATACACATAAAATAAAAATAAAAATAAAATGTTTTTTTAAAAAGTAATAAATGAATGGTCTCCAGAAATCTGAATATATGCATACTTAGAAATACAAACTAGACCCTGATCTTACACCTCATTTAAAATTCAAAATGATAAAGACCTAAACAGAAGATCTGAAACCCTGAATGCCTAGAAGGAGACACAGGGAAAGCCTATGGATTGGTAAGTATCTCATGAGAAGCTCAGCAACAAAGGGTAAAATATATATAAACAAGCAGAACCAATCAAACTAAAAAAGGAGCTTTTTTTGAACAGACGTAAGCCACCAATGGCCTAGAAGATGAACATTCTCTCTCTCTCTCTCTCTCACACACACACACACACACACACACACAAAACTGAGTTGGATATGTTAATTTTCTTGACTGTAATAATCATTTCATTATGTAAATGAACCTCAAAACATCATGTTGACTTGCCATAGTGGTTTACAACTCTAATCCCAGAACTCAGGAGGTGTTCCAGGTCAGCCTGGGCTACATAGTGAGTTCCAGGCCAACCTGAACTACAGTGTGAGACCCTGCCCTGATAAAACAGGACAAATCAAAAACTCTATACATCTTAAATACATACAATTGCAAGAGGAAATTTTTTAACTTAAAAACAAGAGCTAGAGAGATGCTCAGTAGTTAAGAGCACTTGCTGCTCTTGCAGAGGATCGGGCTTTGGTTCCCAATATCCCCCACATGGTGGCTCACAATTGCCTATAACTCCAGTTCCAGGGAATCTAATGCCCTCTTCTGGCCTCCATGGGTACCAGGCACACACATGGTACACTTAGATACACATTGTGCTGGACAGCTTTAGTGTCAACTTGACACACCTGGGTTGAGGGAGCCTCAACTGAGGAATTACCTTCATTGGACTGGCCTGTGGCCATGTCCATCGGGCACCTTCTTGATTGTTGAGTGATGTGGGAGGGTCCAGCCCACTGTGGGTGGTGCCACCCCTGGGCAGGTGGGCCTGTGTTGCATAAGAAAGCAGGCTGAGCAGGGGCCAGGGGAGCAAGCCAATAAGGAGCATTCCTCCATGGCCTGTGCTCGAGCTCCTGCCTCCAGGTTCCTGCCCTGAGTTCCTATCTTAGGTTCCCTGATGAACTGTGACCTGGGAAATGTAAGACAAATAAACCCTTTCCTCCCCAAGTTGGTAGTGGTCAGTGTGTTTTGTCACAGCAGTGGAAAAACAAACTAGGACACACATAAAATAAAAATAAATAAATCTTTTTTTTTTATTTAAAAGCACATACTGATACTTATTAGTACATGAGTAGAGAAATCTAGAAATGCTTTTTGAACTAAGCAGAGGAAGTGAAAGGACACAGAGGATCGTGCATTATGCATTCCCTATAGTCGATTTACTTTTCAAAAATCATTCTTCCTCCCTGTCTTCAAATCCACATAGGATTTGAACTGCAAAAGGCTACAGGAAGTGACCCCAACAACAAGGGGAACACAAAGCTCTCCCCTCAACCACCCTGGTCAACACCTGAGGTCAGCTACCCCTGAGAGCAAGCCAGAGATCAACTGAAAGACTCCTATCCTCGGGCAGCAAAGAAAGCCTCTGTGAGAAACACTGGGCATTGCTAAGGAGCCAGCAGGACCAATTCCACAGGAGCACTGAGCCATAAACCAGGACAGGAACCCAGACCTTACCACTAAGGAGAGCAGGGCTGGACTTCATGCAAGTTAACATAACACTGACATTCCCCACAGTCTGGCTGTTAATTTACCACCTCCAGAGAAGAAAGTATGAGGCACAGGTACATCTTTCTGGAGCACAGAAGAAAAGCCTTTCAAAGAAAGAGGCTTTACTGCAGAGTAGGAGAAAAATCTTTGCCAGATAATTAATATCTAGTATATATAAAGAATTCAAGAAGTTAAGCACCCACAACAAATACAATCAATAAATGGGTAAAAAAAAAAATCAACACTTCTCAAAAGACTCAGTACAAATGGCCAATAAATTCACAAAAAGATGTTCAACATCCTCAGCCATGAGATAAATGTAATGACACTGAAATCCCATCTCACCTCAGTCAAAATGGCTATCATCTTTTTAAAAAATGCTTTCAAGGCTACAAGAAAAAGGAAATTCTTGTATGCTTCTGCTAGGCATGTTAACTAATGCAACCACTATAGAAATCAATGTAGGCGTTCTTTGAAAAATGGAAAGAGGGGCTGGAGAGACGCTCAGCTGTTAAGTGCACTGACTGCTCTTGCAGAGGACCTGGTTCAGTTCCCAGAAACTACATTGCAGTTCCAGGAGATCCAAAACCCTCTTCTGGTCTCCCTGAGCATTGCATAACACAGGTGCACTTACGTACACAAAGCAAAACACTCATATGCAAAAAAAAAAAAAAAAAAAATCAACCAATCAACCAGGACAGAAAAGTACTTGATGCTGTGCCAATCATGGACATTTGACAATCTGCAGGAAGGTTCTGGGAGGCCAAGCCAGTGATGAAGAGGACAGACAGTCA